GAACCCTCATTCCCTATACTACTCATCTGCATTACAACTAGGGCGTGGTAGGTACAATTTTGACAAATTCTCATATTTATTGCGTATTTGTTAGCAATTCAAGTATTTTGTGTGTTTTTGTACCATCTCATGATAAGATGTTGCCCATCTGCATTACAACTAAGGCGTGGTACGTACAATTTTGACAAATTCTCATATTTATTGCGTATTTGTTTCCAATTCAAGTATTTTGTGTGTTTTTGAACCATCTCATGATAAGATGTTGCCCATCTGCATTACAACTAAGGCGTGGTAGGTATAATTTTGACAAATTATCATATTTATTGCGTATTTGTTACCAATTCAAGTATTTTGTGTGTTTTTGTAACATCTCATGGTAAGATGTTGCCCATCTGCAATACAACTAGGGCGTGGTACGTACAATTTTGAGAAATTCTCATATTTTTTGCGTATTTGTTACCAATTCAAGTATTTTGTGTGTTTTTGTACCATCTCATGATAAGATGTTGTCCATCTGCATTACAACCAAGGCGTGGTAGGTACAATTTTGACAAATTCTTATAAACAGTGTAGCACAGTGGATGGAAAATAGCAGGCTTGTCCTAAATGAACGTAAAACGAAACTAGTGCTTTTTGGAACAAAACCAATACTTAATGTTTCAGGCTTTAACGTCGAAATCAATGGTAATGAGATCGAAAGAGTTCCTAAATTTAGTTATTTTGGGAGTAATGCTTGATGAAAATCTAACATGGTAAGAACATACGGAAGTGGTTTGTAACAAACTTGCTATAAGAGATTGGGTCTACTATTACGAATACGCTCATGCTTGACACTTGAGGGGTCAGAGAGTGTACAACTCTTTGGTACTTGCCAGTTTTTCACTACGTGGATGTTATTTTATCAGAGTTGTCTGTTGGATGCTGCTGTTAATATCGTCAAAGACTTCAAAATCGTGCAGCGAGGATAATACTACAGCAGTATAGTTTTAAACACTTACTCGCAGTAATGTGCATAAATGCATTTTAGTTTTTAAATGTCTAAATTATCTCGTTACCATGTATCTGAGTGACTATCTTGTGAGGAATCATAGTATCCACTCGTATAACACTAAGAGGAAGAACGATCTGCACCTTCCGAAACCACGTTACTTTATAACACGCTTCCAGATACTGTAATAAAGAACGTCACTACTTTGTCCAATTTTAAGTATCTGATCCAGAAACATTCCTTTTAGACTAATATCATAGTTTTTGATATTGTTAGACATAGTCATACTATATAGTTTTGATGTGTTTAAATTACTTATATAATATCGTAATGCGATAGGCAATTATAGCAATTATACTGAATGAGCTACCCTGTTGAAATAAAGTGATTTTTACCATTTTGGATGATATTTGCGAAGTCCGTAACGGTATTAGGATATTCTTCCAGAAATTTCAGGCCCAATCTTGTTGCGCCATGGTTAATTTAATACTTTCACCGTCAAGACAGACAACCAAGCATTCCGCTCCATTGATGTTATCAAGTTCTGCAACCTACGTGTTGGGAACAAATTTCAATTATGAATTTTTTCAGTGTTGGTGTTGTGTACTCAGGTGAATAATATGTTTGCGATTTTACTCTGAGTGCATATCCACACCGGGCGAGATTGAAAAATATGCCCGGCCACGGTGGGATTCGAACCTACGACCTTTGGAATACTAGCCCAATGCTCTTCCAACTGAGCTACGCGGTCAGGTCTCAGAGTAAAATCGCAAACATAAATTTCAATTAGTAAATCCACGACACAACCACTGTAATGTTCCAAATTTTCGTTAAATCACATGATTGTGAATTTGGTAAACAATCATGTTGATGGTACAGTATATTTCACAATAATTTACAATACTTTATATAGTGTAGGCTTTACTCATCCAACTTGCATGGAAAATTCACACTTACTAATAAATACGGAACCCCTAGCAGCTTAAGTCGCTCCGACAATGTTATCCAATTTTGAAAAGTGACATAAAATGAATGGTACCTGTTGGTGGATGCCTTGTGTTGATGATTTTTAAGGTCAATAAGGTCTGCCTAAGGTCCAAAAGGTTCGCCTGTAAATTGGATCATTCTTATATACTACTGAAACTTATTACAGTCAGAATTGATTGCCAAATTAATAAATTTGATCGAAATTAAAAACTTCTATCAAATCTAATTAATTTACCCTTTTACAGCATTTAAACTTATGCCATCCATGATATGGAAAGCAGGGTGGGCAGGTCATGATTAATATTGATTATCAGTAATAAATTATATTTTATTCAATTTAATCAATTAAGAATGGTTGCACAAAGAGGTCGATTGGTTTAATTGTTTTAGTATAACTTACTAGCACATTATTTGTACAAAGCGAGACTCTCGGGCCAAAAAAGTATTCATACCGTAACTAATTATCGAAAGAGTGTATTACAAATGTGTGTAGAATGCTGTATGATAAATTCATATATTTAACAATTATTCGCCAAAGGCGAGGTGATTATCGGTGAATAAAAACCGAGACAAAGTCGAGGTTTTTATTCAGGATAATTACCGAGCCAGAGGTGAATAATCGCGTTATAATCACCTCAACAGCAAAGAATTTTCAATAATCACCTACGTAATTATATTAATACTGCGTATTCACCTCTTTCATTATGTTTTTAACAATTCTTTAAATTTTACTCCTCTGACTATCAGTTAAGCCTTGGACTGAATCTTTCAAATTCCGAGCTTTTTCCCTATAATCTTCCATTTGGCTATCTGTCAGGTCCTTCCACCTCGCACCTAGTTCAGAGAACTTTTGTTTCTTGAGGGGGGGGATCTCCTACATTTACATAATACAGATATAAATTAAATAGCATATTAAATAAATGTGTCACTGTTTGTCAAAGTATAAAAATACAACATTTATCTCAACCAAACATCCATGAATATTTCTGTATGATGCTAAGCTTCCAGACTGGACAGCGAGGGGCAGTACGGTTATAACAGTTGGGTAAATACAGTCGAACCTGTATAAAGGGGTCACTCTCTGGGATTTTGCAAGTGACCGCTTAATGGTTGACCGCTTAATACAGGTCTTAGACTTGTAGAAAATCACCACATGGCTTAAATAGCTTGAACTGAAAACACTGTTGACACTTTCAGTGCTTACGAACGCTTGAGTAATGAGATAAACAAAACTTAAAGACTTTGACATGTTAACGCGTTACTTATTTAACCGGCGCGGATCCAGACTGATGCAACTGATGCGAATGCATCAGTCAAAATTTTCACACGAACGAGAATTGTCAACATTTTATTAAAATATATTTAAATATTGGTTGTCTTTGATCCAAAGTCCTTTAAAACAATATATTTTCACAGGAATGAATGTAAACAAAGCTATATTTCGCAAAATATTATGAAAAACGTAAACGCATATCAAATTTCGCACTTATCAAGTTGTACGATTTTGTGTCGCGACTTTATTTCGCCGCATATGTGTGTTTAGTTTGATGCATCCACTATTATTACAGCTCAGTGTATGCATCACTACGTCACGTTGGGGCCGAGTTTTCCCAACGGCACGTCCGAAAACCATTGTTTTCATGCATACGTAACGTTGGGAAATGGATGCTGACTGATGCGTTTAGACCGCGATCAAAATAATGCGCTTTTGACTGATGCATTTCGCCCGCAATCAGAAAAGTCAGTGATAAATTTTATGGTCGAATTGTTATATAATGGCGGGAGTATTAATGGAACATTGTATGTCGCATTGTATGGAAATATTTTACGATCTTTGGTGGTTCACTCAAACTCACTGAGCCTCAAAGCCGTCGAAATTAAAAGGTTTGTCAGCTATTTCAGTAATTTCACAAGGGAATGTTTGGGATCTGTGTACTGTGTTTATAGATGTAGATTTAAACGAGTGAGTCTGTGTGTTGATATTTATAATAAATACTGTAGGTATAGGTATATTTGTCGTAGTATAAATATCACAATTTTACAAAATTTATTATATTTGAACTGTTTTAAATATGTCAACATGGATGATCCTGTTTTGGCTGTTCACATATAAACACTCAATATGCCATTCAGCCATTATATATAGTGTGTGCAGGGGGGAGGGGGGGAGGTTGTGTCTTAATTTGTTTGAAAATGCAAATTGAATCTAGATGCTTGATAATATTTTGCAGTTCTCCCTGAGATTCTTACAGTCTAAGGGACTCTGTCTAGGATCCTGCAACCCTTACTAGCAGCTATATTCCTGGCACCTGCCGGTTACTTGGCTGGTTACTTGTTAGGTGCTGTTTCCCCAAAACACTGCTATCTGTATGATTACACACCATGCCTTGGTTGATGCTCACATCAATATACCGGCACCTAATTAGATCCCTTCCATATCCAAATCCATCCCTGTATGTCATCATTTTGGAATTGGGAAGCTCTTGAAGCTTCAAAACAATATTTTTAAGGGCAATGTTTGGTGATAGTGAGATTAGTTCAGTTATATATTATCTCTATTGTTCCAGAATGATCACCTGGTACCAGAAGCCATCAATCACACTAAATGGCATTACATGTATCAGGGTTGCCCCTGCCAAGGTGAGGGGAGAGGCACAGGGGGTGACCGGCAAATTATTGTGATGCTGAAAATAAAGGGGATTCGCATGTTTAGGAAGGGAATAAATTTAGCTGGGCTCTCTCAAGTTCGACCCCTTAAATTTGTGATGCTTTTCCTGGCATTGTTCATATGCCTTTAAATTATACCATTCTCAAGACCATGGCTCAGCACAAGGTGTTCATTTTAAATGTACCAGTCTAATTAGTAGTTACTGTATGGGACCAAATTACTGTTCTGATCATTCTATCATTTATTTTCAATACAACAAAGGGTCATTGCATAGAATACATTAATGTATAAATTGATAAATTATCTCACTTTCATTGATAAGTCAATGTACTAATTGAGTTGATCACAATATACTGCACTGCCACTGTTACTGAAGCTTGTCAATCCTGCTCATGCAATCAGATACCTACCAAGTCCATAACTGCACTTCTCCCTGTCTATCCTTAATATCTTGAAACAGCAGTTTTGGATACATACAGTAGTCCTAGACACTCTCCTGAATGTACTGTAATTTGGGATTCAATGCAAAATCTGTGGAGATATATTGGTCAATGTATTGTAGATCTATCAAGACTTCAAATACAGTAGAATAATCTATTTTCTGCAAATAGTTTCAATAATTGTTTGTTTTTATTATTAACTGCTCAGCAACAATGAAAACTATTACTTACAGTAGCACCCTTGAATACTTTGATAATCTTACAGTATTTAAAAATTCAAACTGCATTTGTCAAAATGTTGGATATAAATGCATCCATAAATATTAGAGTGACTAGCTCCAGAGAGGGCCTTCATTTACAGTAACTCAAAGTTGCCCTGGAATTAATTCTGGATTATTAAAATAATTTAACTGGAATTTATGTCATGGTGGTGCTGCTGGAAGGCATTTGACCTGGAACATTGTTATTGATTGGTGTTAACTGGTAACAGGAAGTGATAAGTTACAGGAAGTGATATCATTGGCAATTAATATAATAGTTTGCTTGAAGTATTCTTATCTATTTTGCATAAGAAACACAACCCTGATCAGCTTTTCATGTCATTTGCACCATATTTTACACAGAAAAAATGTCTGTGGTTTTTTGCTTTCAATTATTCTATCAGTACGTTGTGTACATGTAAGTAGTGTACACTTGTTTGTAAAATTGTAAATTATAGCTACAACTTTGCTACTCTATAATCCTCACTCAAATAGGATCAAATAAATAAGGCTAGCCAAGTTTCGATCTGATAAAACTCCGCGTAAAAATGTTTTCAATTTATTTTAAACTCACATGATTATGTTGTTCTCACTCTATAAGGCCGATTTTTTACGTTTTTTCCCCGAAAATCCAGCAAATTACGTTTCGATTTAGATGTGTGAACTTCGAAGAAAAGCTCCCTCAGAACGCAGGAAATCGCATTTCCGAGGTCCTAGATTTCAAAATTTCCCGGGGGAGGATTCCCCCGGACCCCCCTACAAATGCGACGTTTAGTGCATCAGTCAACAAAACCACTGGATCCGCGCCTGGTTCCATCCGACTTCACAGTCAAAGTTGTGTCATATGCAGATAAAGTTTTCAAATGCTATGTTTCGAAGAACACCAATGACAGTATAACCCAACAGAAGAAGCTGAAAGAGAAAATGGTTAAAGAAGTTAGCCATTACTTTGCTGACAAAGTTCCCATGAGCAATGAAGAAAGTCATGATAGCTGCATCAATGAGACACTATTTGACAATCACAAACTCTAACTAGTTAAATGTATTGCCGATCAATTCTTAAAATTAAGATTGTTTACGTATGGTAAAAGGTTTAATGAAAAAGTTGTAAGAGAAGGAGTTCCAAGTCAGAGGCATCAGCTAAATAAGCTCACTTTGTTTCGAAACCAATGATTTTAGTCATTGAAAAACATGTAAATATTTCGTATGTTTCAATCAGTTCGTAAAATTTTAATAAATATGAGGTTTTGCCTTATTTAAATAATATTATCAATAGAAATTTCTGAACAATCGGACACGACGTGCAGTCGAACTTGTTATATATTTTTAAATGTTTAATATATAAAGTTTTAAAATTATGTACATATTATACAATATACTTGCCTGATTAAAAAATTGACAATGATGATCCTCTTCTTTCTTGTTTTTAAATTGAAGACAAATAGAATCCCATCAATTGCAGAATCATCCTCAGCGATATGAAAAACTAGTTTCATATTTATTCTAAGAATATTAGGAATAAATATGAAACTAGAATCGCTTCACTCCCTCGCCATTCTCGCCATTAAAAATGTTTGGCCGCGCGGGTAGGGGACTGAGAATGACGCGCAAGAACAACCTCGTGCCCAGGGTCTTCCTCGTGGTGGCGCGTCAGCTCACGCGCCACCACGAGGAAGACCCTGGGCACGAGGTTGGCGCAAGAATGGCTTCAAATTCCGCCATCTTGGCTTCACTTTTTGATTACGTCAATGACTGAAGTCAGCCTTCCATCCATGTATATAGTTCACTGGAGTATGCCCGTTCGCAGGTTAGGTGCTGGCCCATTGCTGGCTTATTGTTACATGAAGTATAGAGCCATTGATCAACAAATTTCGCAATGGATCAATGGATCATGTTTCACGTTCGTCATGTGATTTTGTGATGTACTGACTTCTGACCACACTTCTGACACTATATATTGTGTTTGATTTTTTTAAAATTGATTAATCTCTACCTTGGAATTGTTACTCAGGTATGTGTTCTTCATTTATTTATTTATTTATTAGCTTTGCAATCATACAAAAGTATGGTCAACAGGACGTGAGACACTGAGACCAATGTCCTGAGACCCATGTCTTAAAAGGTTTGAAATATATTTGACTGTAATAGACGATTTGTTATTATAGAACTAGGGATCTTATAATTCTAAGGCTTTTTAGGTTTCTAGTAGACCCTAGTGAGCTTTGTTTATAATATTTTCATATAAATCACTACCCTTGTAAAGTTTATTTGATTTTGACCCAGAGAGGTTCCAGGATTTGCTAATATAAAATTATGTAAATATGACTGTCAGTGGACATGAGTGCATTTATAAGCTATGTTTACAACCTACGATTAATCATGTACGATTCGTTTTCTGGCGTATGTCATCGAGTAAACACGTGTAAGCTGGCTACATTTGAACTACAACAGCAATGAATTATGGCACCAGCACTCATTTTAATACGCCAGATTACGAATCGTACATGATTAATCGCAGCGTGTAAATGTAGCTATAAGCAGGGCTGGGATATGCTTATCAATTTTGGGTTATGAACAACAGGCGACATTCCTTTAAAAGTCGTGACAGACTATCTAAAAAAGAACGACAAACGATGGCTTCTGACCACAGATGAAGTATATACTTAATTACTTCATCTATGTTCTGACTGAGAAAAGTGACAAATTGCGATTTGACATGTTATGGTTCGAAAGTCACATTTAAATGAAACTAAGTAGTGAATTCAGACTAATTCTTATTAGTATAATTACATAGGTGATTATTGAAAATTCTCCACGCTGATTGGTTGCCGTTGAGGTGATTATTACGCGATAATCACCTAAGCGATTTTCAAAATGGCGACCGAAGCCGTTTTGTCAATTAAATGACGAAGAAATGTCTATTTTTTATTTTTTTCCAAATAATCACCTATGAAATTATACTAAAACAATTATTCACCTCAGACTCGGTGATTATCGTGAATAAAAACCTCGACTACGTCTCGGTTTTTATTCACCGATAATCACCTCGCCTTCGGCGAATAATTGTTAATTATTGATGTGCTGATATTGATACCAAATATTTGATTGCATCGATACCAATATTAAAATTAACTAACTGTCTACCTGTTGAGTGGCAGCATTTTCCCCCTGACGAGTAAAACCGTCTGGCATTAGACAGAGTGAAATAATAAAGTAGGGCGCATTGCCACTTAAAGGGTTAAATTAACAGGGTTAGCCTGCCTGTCTAACCTGCCTGTCGGGTTCTATGCTGAAATAGAGCCTGCTACTGAAGTCGATGAAAAGTGGACAGTCATTTAGATGCACGAAAATAACAACCAATCAAAACGGCGATTGTTAATTAGATTACCAATTTAAAAAATGACAATAACAGCCAATTTTTCCGCCAATATCTCAAAAATAAAATATTCCAATTTTCATTAAATGGCCAGGAATTACATACTAAATAATAATAACAGTTACTGACCGTGTTTATAGACCGTAAAGGCAGTAATTAATGCGGCCAAAAGTACAATTACCCATACGGAATATAATATTATGTAAACAACAACTTGATATTACCTTATAAGGCAAGGCTATTTATTTCTGACCAATGGGAATTTTGCATACGATTCGTACGCATAAATCCACTTTTTATTAACTTCAATAGCAGGCTCTATTTCAAGCATAGAGCCTGACACATAGGCTACCAATTGAGTGGCAACACTCTCCCCCTGAGGAGTAAAATCGTGTGACGTTAGACAGAGTAAAATAATAAAGTAGGGTGCATCTGGGCACATTGCCACTTAAAGGGTTAAGAGTTAAATCTTTGGAAAGCTCAGGTAATTGATGGAAATTTTAGTAAAAAATAGCATAATTCAGACCTGTCAATTTTCCCATTGCTGTTGAGAGACGCCTTTGACCTTTTTCTCAAAGTATGAAGGTATTTTCTTGTTTTTATAATTGTTGGAAATAGTGGAATATTTTCCAGATTCAAATATCTGGCAAGAAACAGTAATTGCATGAAAATCACTCATTACTTACTCCATGAACTACAAGTGTTTGGCTTTCTTATCCACTTTTGCACTTTAATTAAATGATAAGTAGATTGTCATGAGGATATGAGATATACAGTAACATATAGTTGCATTCCCGCCATGTTAGTATTAACCTATTAACCCATTAAGTCTGGCATTAGACAGAGTAAAATAATAAAGTAGGGTGCATTGGCGCGCAATGTGACTCAATGGGTTAAACTAGCTATCGAAGAGAATGAACACTACATATGACGAAATTATAAAGGGAAAATGAACACTGCATATGACTTTAATTTTGCTCTCGCAATTTTTGATAAAATCTCATGGTTTTTTAAGGCTAAAAAGCGAAATCTCCGATTGAAAGATGCGGTACAGTCCGATCTGCGCATGTGCACAAAGGAGCCCTCTTTTTATTTACAAACAGTTTATTTAGGTTTTTATTTCATTTTATGTTCTTGCAAAGCTTGATTGTTGTGTCTTCATAATTTATTATACTCTAGAATCATGAAAATATAAATAGTTGTCGTATAAAATTCAATATTTTGGATACCGAAATGTAAACAAAGCCATTGTTTACATACGGACTGTACCACATCTTTAAAATTTTTAGGGTTGACAGGTCTGTTAATGTTTGACAAAACATGATATCGATATAACCTTAATCCATTGAGCGCCAGTGCTTTCCCCTTGACAAGTAAAACCGTTTGGCATTAGGCAGAGCGGTAAAATAATTGGGGATCAAATCAAACAAAACAATCGATCGAGTCATACACATTATAGTTCTACTATTCATGTCTCATTTTAGCTTGCATGTTTTCATCTCCACTTTTATATCACCTATACCAATTTACAACATATATCACCAGTATCATCACTGTATACTACTTTATTATAAATTATGCTTCACCAGTATCATTACAGTTCATGCATCATCAAAAAATATTTTTCACTAGCATCATCGTTATCCACACCATTACAGGCCTTAAAATATCTTTTACAGGGCCATCTGACAAAATGTCCGGTGACGTTGAGTTTGGGTCGGACACATGTCCGATGACACATGTCCTTCAGTTCAGTTTTGACTCGGAAATAAGTCTGAATGACACAAATGAATAAACGGTAAATGTTGTAAAGATATTAAATAATTTGTTTCTTTCATACTTATTTCCAAGCCAAAATTAACTTGCTTTCCAGAACAGCAGTATTAAAAACGACTTCGACAACTTAAGCCAGTTTTCCACTTCACCATTTCGCTCGCCTCCCCACGTTCGTCTATGTTATTAAAACAACATTTCCAGTTGACCTTTTATACAATAGTACTCTGATTTTCCATTTAACATACAAGCCTCTAATCCTGGGCTAGGGTACATTTTGATTTACGTCGGACAAAGATACAGTTCGGTCGGACACCAATACACTCAGGTCGGACAAACAATAAACCTCAGTTTCACTTTGGTCGGACAGAATGTCCGGTGGTTTCCTTTCTACGTCGGACAATTTCATGAATGGGTCGGACAATGTCCGTGACCGACCGATATTTTAAGGCCTGCCATTCCAATTCTATTAGTCACATTGAATCGAAATTTCATTTCACACCACAAACCATTTGATAATAGAATGTCCCAACAGGCCAGCAGAGCCATTTGACAGCATTCCAGGACCTGAATACCTGCAACCACCTTTTCGATCCAATTCTAAAAGAAAAACAAACAACAAATTCCTTGCATTCAAAGATGCAGAATTTGACCACTAAAAATCTGTGGTGTAGCCAGCCCGACGATTCAGTCCCGCTATTCCCACCATGGCCAGGCATATTTTTCAAGCCTGCCCGGTGTGGATATACACTCAGAGTAACATCACAAACATCTCATTCACCTTAGTACATTACACCAACACAGAAAATAAAATAATGATAATGTGTTGAAATTTGCATAGTAGGACCAAATCGTCGGGCTGGCCACGCTACTGCTAACAATCATTGTCCTGAAATGCTGTGAGATTTGTAAGTCCACCAATAAGACCTGGAATTCCGCCCAAAACCTGGAGACTTGCGCGGGTAAACCGTGAGACCTGGTAGCTCAGAGCCATTTGAGATCATCATGTGTGTTATTTTATAATTGTAGATGCGGACTACAGATAGTGACAGCAACAGCTTGTACCAAAATGATGCTGATGATAGTCTCCTTCCACCTAAGGTATTTGCAAACAGTTCATACAGTGAAACAGATGAGGTGAAAGTTTATAAGAGAAGATGGTATATCTTACTGGTGTACTGCTGCAACGGCGTCCTACAGAATGCTATTTGGAATACCTGGGGACCAATCGAGGCAACTGCAAGAGCAGTGTATAAATGGGATAGTTATGTAATAGACCTGATGGCAGCATGGGGGAGTATAACATTTTGCATAACTATGATACCATTTGCCTGGATTATGGATGTTAAAGGTAAGTGTTTCTCGTTTTTCGCTCATGGGCACCGTTATTGGTTTGCTCAGAACAACACCTGCTTGTAAAAGTTGATGTTAAAAAAGTTCAGCGAAGAGTGCCAATTGAAATGTGTTAGGTTAAATGCGGAAACGGATGCGGAACGGATACAATTTATTTATGGTGCTGCTACACGCGACAACTCGAAAGTTAAACAAATTACGTTTGACGATTGTCTCTTTAATTGAAATAGCTGTATAACTTTAATTGAAATACTGTAGCTGTATAAGATATGAATAATAAGCACTACGACGTTGGATTCCATTGCAAAAAAAACATAAATCGAAAACACGGAAACGTAAAAAAAGAATCGAAAAAAACTCCATTTGTGGTTAAAATTTTTGGTGAAGTTTAAAATGACTCATTTTACCCCCATATTCGTTCCGCTTTTTATCCCCGCCGTTCCGTTCCACTTTTTATCCCCTCCGTTCCGTTCCATTCCGCATTTTATCCCCATCTGTTCTGTTCCACTTTTAACCCCATCCGTCCCGTTCCGCATTTTATCCCCATCCGTTCCGTTTCGCATTTTATATCCCCATCCGCTCTGCTCTACATTTTGTCCCCATTTCCGTTCCGCATTTTAACCTAACCCCAATTGAAATTGCACACACATGCCAGATTTGTTTATATGCTGCTTTGCAACGTTACAATTGGTATTAAGGAAATATAAATATGCAGGAGTGAAGATAATCATATATGCTTGCATGTGATCGCGGTGGGAGTCGAACAGGCAACCTTTGGTTTGCTAGTTTGGTGTCCCGGTGTGGACACACTCAGAGAGAACATCGCAAACAATAAACATGTATATTGAAATGTTTCTAATTTAAAAACGTAGATTACGAATTTCGGAAACAGGATGTATCATATTTACCAGTTACATGGCGCCAGTGTTCGTGATAAATATGCCCTCTACAGGCTCTTAGTGGTTTCATATATTTTGTTGTATTTATTGTAGTTTTCTGTATATTTGTATTCTGTATATTTGTATTTCTGTATATTTGTATTTCTGTATATTTGTATTTCTGTATATTTGTATTTCTGTATATTTGTATTTCTATATATTTGTATTTTTATCACGTGATGCTTTTATACTCTTAGTATAAAAGCTCATGTAATTTTCCCGACCCCCGCTAGTAACTCCAGACGAAGGGCCTTTGCTCGAAACGTGGAAACTCTCCTTATATATTTTTAAGGTAGCACATGGTAAAAAAAGATACAGTGGCGCTTGAATTCAGTTGCCATATACTCATAATTCAGCGTTTTTTCGACAAAGACATATGTAGTAGCAAAGCCTGGTTTCCATATGTTTGTAACTGTCGCGTCAATTGTTTGTCGTGAATGATTTTTATGCTTGTTTCCGTATGGTTGTAATCGTCGTGACACTGTCCCAAGTTAATTTCGTACCCAGGGATCGTACAAGTAACTGGCGGCAGTTTTAAAAAAGACAAACAGGGTCCCCCCAAACAGGACTTTGACCCCCTTGATTGTTGTAGGAAACTACTGCCCGTCGCCCAGACAATAATAATAAGAAACACAGCAAATCACAGTTTAAAATCACAATTTCTCTCTCAAATATTCTCACAAGTAAAACTACAAAATTCCCGATCCCAATAACAAATATATTCCCCCATAAAGCACATGTAAATAGTCTCTGTCTATTGGCTAACCCGGTGAATTAGTAATTAGGTTAGTATAATAAACATGAACTATATTATTTATGTTAGTTGATTAGTATAGCGTCTGCTGTTAATGTTTACATTAGTTCCGACAATTGTCGCAAAACTGTTGCCATGCTGTCGTTTTCCTATTTCCATTAAAACATAACCGTCACGACACGTTTTTAGCCTGTTGCAACTGTCGTCGAGATAGAACTCGAGACTGCCTCGATGACACTGTTGTAACTGTCGTGAACTATTGCCAGCGTGTCACGACAAGACTTTTCTTCATGTTTCAACAGTGCTTTGACGAAAATTACAATACGTTCGCGACCGCGTTACGACAGTGGGACATGGGTGTTAATATTTTCAATAGCGAATCTTCATTCAAACGAATTTCCTGCAGCTGTTTAACATTTCAGTGCTCGTATGCTCGCCTATTTTTTCCACCTGTGGTTGGAAGGGACAATGTGATAGTAATGTGTATATTCGTTTCGTAGCATTTTTATCTGAGGCATTTTTTGGCTGGAGGCATGGAGAAAATTCCCCCAATCCCTCTAGGTGCTTCTGCTCGTGGGACAAGGGAGCAACTCTTGTATAAACTACGATGGACTAGCAAACCAAAGTCGCGGGTTCGATTCCCACAGCGGTGAAGCAATTTTTTCAGCGTGCCCGTTGTGGACATTCTCAGAGACAACATCACAAACATATATCTTCACTTGAGTGTATATATAACACCCGAAACAAAAAACTACGATGTTTGTTGCTAACAGTGTACCATATTTTTTAAGGTTTGCGTGTCACAATGTTGATCGCCGCCGGTTTGCAAGTAGTTGGTTCTGTATTGAGATTTATTCCTACTGGTGATGCAATGACATCGACGGTCTTAATTCATTTTGGCCAGATTATAGTTGGCTTTGCGGGACCTGTGGGTATGGCCGCTCCTCCTCTCCTATCATCAACTTGGTTTCCACCATATCAACGTACAACTGCTACTGCAATCTTAGCGGTTGCTGGTTATGTAGGAACCGCTGTATCGTTTTTAATAGGACAGGCATTTGTTGACGATGTTAAGGATTCGGATATTCCAAAAATTGATGGTAACTATCCACTAAATTCGACAGAAGAAGATAAATACCAGAAGCAAATCAACTCGCTTCTATACTTCGAGGCAGCTTTGCAGTTGTTTGTGTTTTTTGTTATACTCGCTTACTATCCATCGAAACCTCCACGACCACCAAGCGTTTCTGCTGCAACCGGACGGGTCGACTTTAAGGCCGGCGCTAAAAAACTCTTTAAAAATTATAATTTTATCCTACTGGCTACGATATATGGGGCAAGTACAGGTGTTTATGGAGGTTGGTGTTCTGTGCTCTATCAGAATTTATCGGACTATGGTATATCAGTCGACGCTAAGTTCGCGGCATGGCTTGGTTTTATCGCTGTCATCAGTGGCGCATTCTCGGGTGTTCTATTTTCATCGTAAGTATATATACATATTTCTAAGTTATGCATGCTTTTTGGAACTGGTAAGGAAAGGGCATGAACCTTCAGTCTCCCCTTAAGTTTTTCCGTTTTCAGTGCAGAGGTCATGTGACCTATTCAATCGAGTCACTAATCAAGGGAGCGATAGCGTAAAAAATCCGGGGGAGCTTGCTGCTTATAGCTATTACATTTAATGGAGCTTGGCGACGTTCGGCCAACGTAATTGTTCATGCATAAACATAAATCGTGATTTTGAATTTTTGGTCAAAACGACATATGTTCTGACCTATTTCATCCAATATTTAGAGAAGCTATATATTTTATTATTATTATTATTATTAAATTATCTTTAATTTAAGCACGTGATATTACTGTATATGACTCCCCTTGCAATATAATTTAAATGAGACAACATACAGTACGTGCTCCCATACAAATATATATAATGGTAATTTAACTGAGTGGAGTTTACAAAATCGCATTTTTTTTCTTGGAATTGATTAGCTGGTCGAATTGTATGCTTTGATTTGATTGGTTAGCTAAAGTCGGCACTTAAATATGACTGGTTGAAAATTGATGCGATTACAACTCGTCACTCACTGCATACTAATATTAACAAGTTATAGTTATTCCTATAATTTTGGCAAGAAAATCAAATTAAACATCGCTATACCTTAAAACTATCGAAAAATACTCGAAATGCTTTTGAAAATACGCTAAAATAATAACAAAACTTGAATCTACGATCGTTTTACCACATTCTTACAGCATTTTTGTGAAAAAATGAATTCCTAAAACGAAAATTTGTTCAATGTTAATTTTGATGCCACTGTGCTGAATGCCTGGGACGCGCTAGAAACATGCAGTATTTTTATATGACGAATATAAATTCATTGATTCGGATTTTAATATGTCCAGGAACAAGAAGCAAAAATATAAGCAATCAACGTTTTGAGCGAAGGCCCTTCGTCGGGTAGTTAGTAGCGTGAATTGGGAAAATAATATGAGCCTATATACTAGTGAATATAAAAGCGATCACGTGACAAAAAATAAACCAATCAGATGGATTTACACTATAAACTTCGAGGAACCACGAGTGAGTTTTTCAAAGACTATCAAAACTCATTGAAAAAAACTTGAAAAACTCATTAATTAATAATTGAAGTCCTTGAAAAGCCATATTATTACTTATTTTTAATATACATGAAAAAATATTTAGTTACTCCTAAAAACTCCTAAATGTTTGTTTTTTTGTATTATTTCTGCTGGAAATTTTAATTTCTGCTCAGAAAGCCGAAATAGTCAATGAAATTTGCACTGTATTTCGGAAAAATTGCACTGCTCTTAGCCAATCAGAATGAATCGAACCCGCGACCTTTGGGATACTAGTCCAATGCTCTGCCAACTGAGCTACGAGGCCAATTCCCACCTTGATCAGGCTAACTTTTCAGCCTGCCCGGTGTGGATATACACTCAGAGTAACATCAAAAAACATTATACTCACCTGAGTACATAACATCAAAACACACACAAAAAATATCATATTTCATTTTGTTTAAAAAACCAATGCAACCAACTTGATGTCATACATGAATAATGAAGAATCACATAGTAAATGTTTTATTACTTCATTTGTATTTCTCGAAATCACTGGAAAGAAGCAGCACGTGTTTATGTTTCCTACAATATTAATCATGCTGATCATTAAAAATAAGAAACCTTCACTATATCTGATTATATGCATGCTGTCTATATGACGTCATGTTGGTTGCATTGCATTTTTAAAGAAAACGAAATATCTCAACAGCGAAACATGGAAAAGATCTATGAAAGAAGTTACTCTACAGTTTTAAGAGCTCTTTTGTTTTTAAGACAATAAACCACTGCAATAACCAGTGTCATTTGCACTTGAAATCATTCTATATCTTAAAAGCCTGGAGGATGAGAGTGCATGAGAGTTGCAGTCATGCACGCAACCTTAAAAACGATTTCCATTCAGTGCAAAATATCACGAGATCAACTGTTTGCGATCACTTTCTTTTGAAATGTGTTCAGTCAACCACATCCGTTGCGTTTGATCGCTTGCATTTCAAAAGAAAGTGATCGTAAAATGTCGATCGCGCGACATTTTGCACTGAATGCTGAATGGAAATCCGCCTTTACATGGTTATATCTGTTCATACAGGTAAACTACGTCAAGCGTTCCTCTTTTGGGTTCCTAACTTGATTTGCGCTTGATTGCAATTTTCCGCATTACCTTTACAAATATGAAACTCCCTTGCAAATACCTTGAGGGAATTTGCAATGTTCCTAAAAGCCAAATAAATTTTCCTCAAAATTCCTGTTAGAAGTTCTTAACTTCCTTTTCTGTTGCGTGCATTGTAATTGGCTAACAAAAATAATCCACCAATGAGAACGCTCAGAACAGAACAGGAAGTTGGGAAATTAAAACAGGAAGTTAGGAAAATTTGAAAAATTTGAAAGGACGTTTCTCTGCATTGGAATACTGCAACAGCCGATAGGAACATTGCAACGGATTTGCAAAGGGGTTTTTTCAAATTTGCAAAGGTAATGAGCAAAATTGCAATCAAGAACTCACAAGAGGAACGCTTGACGTAGTGACGCTTGAAGTGTTAATAATATACATGAAAAAATTTCTCAATTCTTATTGGCTAAGAGCAGTGTAATGCGAAATACAGTGGCAAAAAATGAAATACAGTGCAAATTTCATAAGACTAGTTATAAGATGCAGCCATTTCTAGCAGAAAATAATAAAAAAACATTTATAAGTGACAAAAGTGGCTGGCGTTTTTAACAGATTTTCTATTAAAATTATTTATATTAAAATTATATATATTAAAATTATATATATTAAAATTAAATATTTAGCATGTGACCTACGCGCGCACGCATGTGACTGTGGCCTTACGCTTCCGGTGCAGTGCTCTAACCAACTGAGCTACGGAGCCCAGTTTTTGAGCTCTAACCATATCGTTATTTTTCTTTCAGATTCGCTGATCACTTCTCAGGGCACTTGAAATTATTCCTCATTGTGTTTATGGGGCTGTCGTTTTTCACCACTTTATTGATCTGCTATATTTTCACTGGAGTTATCGCATTTAACAACGTCCTAGTATACATCATGTTTGGACTGAGCGGGTTCTTCTTGAATGGCACCATCCCTTTCTTCTTTGAGCTTGGCGTTGAGATCACTTACCCGGTAGCAGAGGGTATAACCACCGGCGTTATAACGTTCTTCAACAATTTTCTCCAGTCAATATTCTTGGTTGTTCCGCTAGGTAATTTGGGTACTAAGTGGATGTTATGGACTACCGTTTTCACCTGCGCTATATCGACAATATTTTTGCTTTTTGTGAAAGAAAAATATAACAGATCTTCTGTCGACCAGCGCAGCCGTAAATCTAGTTATACTCCAGGTGTAGTTAACTCATAATTATCGTATTCTCACGACGTACCACCTTCAACAAAAATCGTACCTAATAGACATTTTTAATAATAAGTCAAATCTTCCAATTATAGGGTCACATTCAGACTTTGCAATTCTTTCGATGTCCTTGACATTAGGTTAGTTTGAATTATATAAAAAATATACAAAACACTGAAATACTAATTGAAGAGATGAATGAAGAATAGATCTTAGCATTGGAGTGGCAACCGAACTGCTGATAAAATCCAAGATCAAGGTTTAACACCATAAATGATCTAAGAAACGCCCTGGTTGTTAATTAACATTAGAAAACTCATTAATAATTTATATGTGACAAAAAAATCACGTTCATTTACATAAACTTTAGCTTTAATTTTCTCGGCTTAGACAACGTTTAATTTTAAAATTACTTCGCCAATGAACTCATTACATGGGTCGTTTTTTAAGCCATTTAAAACATTCGCAGTCCGTGCTTTATCAGATATAAAACACTCGAACTGCGCTCTCTCGTGTTTTATATCTCATAAAGGACTCCTGCTCGCGTTTTAAATAGTACTTCAAACACTCATTAATAATTCATAAGCTTATTGGCAAGTCATGTCAACCATAATATGTCACGTGGAGTGGCTTTAAACCTGATAAAACACTCCTAATTAGTATTCTTTATATAAAGAATACTAACAAGGCAGTATCTATTGTTGTCGTGTCCTCATTAGTATTTTTTATATAAAGAATACTAATAAGGCGGTATATCTATTGAATTTGTAGTCGTGTTTGAAGCCGTTTAATAAACTCGCAGGTCGTGTTTTATTAGGTCTAAAGCCACTCGCGCTGCGCGCTCGTGTCTTTAAACCTAATAAAACACTCCTGCTCGTTTATTAAACAGTACTTATTATCAATATTAATGATTTTTTTTTGACAGTTCGGTTGCTATACCCGGTTGCAAAGAGATTTATATAACAGAAAAATGAACTATATACCATTAATTTCGATTGAAGGTAACCGCATGCACATACTTCATATACAAGATAATTTTTGGCGAAAATTTTATGAACTGCGTCCAAGTAATTCAATCCTAGGACTGGATTAAAATTAATTCACTCCACGTTTAAGTGAATATGACATAAGACTCTTCATTGTCTTCTGAAAATTATTAAATAAGAGATTTAAGGTGGCTCAATACAGTTTTTAAAAAAATGGAAAATTCACGATTTAGATGCGTATTTTTGGACAATTATTATATGTTGATAAACAAAAAGTACCTTACTTATATAAAACAGCATCCGAGAGTTTGAATTTTTGCACAAAAGTTACGCAACTGCCGTTGCTATGGCAACAATGACGTTTCAAGATGACGGATATTTTGGCTTTAAAGTAATTTAACTCGTAAACGACATCGGTGACCCCCAAATTTTATTTAAAAAAATGATTTCTCGTATAGTAAATTATTTTGACAATTTAAAAAAATTCTGTGGAGCAAAAAAAAATTATTATAAATAATCACCTTTACGTAATTCAGAAAATTTTGGCTCCACAGAATTTTCTTAAATTGTCAAAATAATTGATTATACTAAGGGGTTGATACGAAACTCGATATGTATAAACGCAGTAAAGAACATATTAAAAATTTGTTTTTGTTTTAACGACCAAGAAGGCTTCAAAATATAATTCAAAATATGTATTAAATTGTATGCATTCATAAATATTTTGAAGCCTTAATTCTTGGTCGTTGAAAATGTATTTACTCATTAGGGAGCGGTCATTATTTATGGTGGGGGATTTTCTTGGGAAAAATTTTGCTGACCCAACCATTAAAAAATGTTTACCCAACTAAAACAAAATACCCATCCCTGGCCAAAAAGCTTTACAAAGGGATACCATTCAGTTGTCTTTTACGGCTTCTGTGGCATAAGCTCTGTTTTTTGCATGGACCTTGCTCCTTCGTCGCTCGGTCCATACTAAAAAACCTCGGTCTGATATTTCACAGTACAGACCTCGCGCTCGGTCAATAATCCTTTATTATTATATGGCTTTTCAAAATGCTCTATTCTGATTGGTTGACAAGCGGTCTTGCACATGTACTTTCTTTGGAGACACCATTTGCCTCCTGACAAAGCAGAAAATGATCAAGATAGTGACGCTGATTGATTTACACATTATATTGACATTTGACTGTTGACATTGCTTTTTAGTCGTCAATATTTGAGTGAGTCATGCTTTGGAAATGACAATAAATTTTTATTGTCCAACCCTTGAGTTGTTTTGTTTTTCATCTACCCAACCTTTTACTCTCTCAAAACTTTGCCTACCCAACCCTTTTCTCTTCGGTGCCACCCCCGCAATGAATAATAATCACTCCCTTGGACATAATGAAGACGTGTATATGAAGTCCCGAGAATCATAGATAATGGTGAACCGCGAGCCTCTATAGCTAGTATAGGGTCATTACAATGTATATATTAATGGTTTTATTGTAAATGAATTTATTTTAGCTAATGATTTTTGTAATTTTAATTATGTATTGTCAATCGAATATGAAGGAATTAAATTTTTATCAATCAATTTTTTAAATAATTGGCTTGCAACAATATTTTCTTATTTGCTTATAAATATAAATATAAATATTGGTCGCAATGAAAAGCACTTTGAAAACAACAAATGGGATTTGCACAATAAGATGATTTGTAATATCAATTCCCATGAATACGAAATGAGTAGACAAAACTTCACCTCTTCATGAAAGGCTGTAAGTAGCGTCATTGCGCGCGGAGTAAAACTCACAAAGAAGCTCATAAGATTGGAAACGCGAAATTTGCTAATTTCGTACAGATTAGTTTTGTGCCCATTTGAGATTTTGTAGTTATGTCCATGAGACTGTATCTATTTCAGGTCAATTTTATACTCGAATAAAAGTAGTCCGTGTTTATAACTAAAAGAATCGATAAAAAAATTCGTCGTCCGCCGTCCGTCTCCGCGTTTTATCTACGCCGGTGTAAACATCCACTTCAAAGCATCAAAATTTGCTGAAAATGAAGTCGCATGAAAATTTCGCATGGATTTTATTTTCCCTAAGTGGAAGCCCTCGAGCAGCCGCCAATGTCTTCTCTTTCCTCCTCTCCCCCTCAGCGGTACGTCATGTAACGTACAATATAGTGGGTCTCCACAAAGAGAGACTTGGAGCAAGTCTATCAGCACAGTGAACTCTATATATATATATATATATATATATATATATATATAGAGTTCACTGCATCAGCATCACTGAGCTATAATATATCTGGAGGAAGTGCTCGGCATCAAAGAGTGTCGCCAAAAACATGGCGGATTTTCACGTTTGCTGACGCCAGAATGACGCCACTGGTCCTAAATCCTCGTGGTAATTACCACTGACCAACCGCGATCCTCAGCTTCAGACGACGATTTCACCCCCCTGGTTTTTGCACAAACTCTGCTGAAAGTTTATGTAAAAAACATCAAGAAAAAATGCCGAGTTTTTGCATGGCTTCATGATGCCACAATTCTTTAATATCAAGAAGAAACACTTCTTTTTACCGGTAAGATGTATTAAACTCTTTTTCTGTGCTTCATTTGTACTAAATACCGTTTTTTAAAAGAAAAAATTGGATACGAAATTTACGAAAAACGACGCTGTACAGCAGCTGGTATTTTTCTGCCTTTTATCACTTTTCTTTGTGTTTTATTTTGCCATTTGGGCAGGTTATAGTTTCTGTTTTCCTCTGGAGCCCTAACCCAAAGATCCAACATCAATTTTCACATACAGTATTGCTCGCAGTATTGTAACAGAAATGCTTTAAAATTATGGATAAGTGTCAAGTCACAAATGCCAAATGGTGTCAATAGTCCCAACTTGTAGTCTTATCCTAGGGTTTGAATGTATTGTCACAGGAGGCCCAATATATGCATGGTTGTAATGGGCACAAAAAAGATCAAAACTGTTCCTAACAAGTGTCTCTGCAGGAGTAAGTGTTGAATAAAAGCTTGCAAGGCTCACACTACAATTTTGAGTTTGATTTTAGTAGACACTTTATTTAATCTTTTTTCATGGCTAACATAGGAGGCCCAATAGATAGTTGTACAAGTAAAGTTCATAGTTCATATATATAAAGGCCAGCACAAATAGACATGATTGAATTTTTCTTGATGAATATGAATTTATGGATAGTACATAGAAATAGATAGAAGTCGATGGGTGGAAAGGGATGCCTATATGTCTGAAATGACATATTTTAATATTTGAAAGGAAAAAAATAATATTGTTCAGTAGCATGTAGACCAAATTATATAGATAATATAGTATGTGACTGATTGGATGTATTCTATTACACTTTTCCAGATGCCAAGAAAAATCCTGAGATGTGTAGAAAACTTGAAGAATGAAGAAGAATGCCCTAGCTGGTTAAATGTTATGCCACAAAGGGGAATCACCTTTGTTTGAAGCAATTAGTATAATATTCCACTTAACCCATTGAGTGGCAGCACTCTCCACTTGATAAGTAAAATCATCTGGTATTAGACAGAGTGAAATACTAAAGTAGGGTGCATCAGAGTGCATGCCACTTAATTGAAAGGTTAACTCATTAAGCACTCTCCCCTTCTCAAATAAAATTGTCTGCTATTAGATAATAAAGTAGGGTGCATTGGGTTGCATTGCAACTTGCATATATACTGGTCAGCCCATAGAGTGCCAGAGCTCTCCCCTTGCATTGACAAGTATATTTGTCTGGCATTTGACAGGAAAATTATATGGTGCATCGCCACTTATCAAAAGGGATAATAGGGTTCTCTCAAGGGGGGGGGGGGTTAGGTTACACTCACAAATGCATAATTGAAACAATTGGCTGGTTTGACATTTTAATTGATTATTGCAATATTTTCACACTGATTTTGTCATTTAATTTTTTAATTTTATTTTTAATTAATATGAAAATAATGTAATCTAATAACCCATAAATCAATATACTGTTAATAAAATTGCATTTTATGTGGATGTAGTTAATTAAATATAGTCATCAACAGTTTGTGACTCCTCTTTCCCAACAAGTTGCTCAATGGTGCTTTATTTCTGAAAAAAAATTTATGTGAGAAATTAATATTACACTAAAACAACCAAGTACTTTATATAATAATTGTTGTGGTTATTGTTTGACACTGGATCCCAGTGTTTAAATGCCATTAATCCAACACATGACACATGATTATGTACACATAACACTCTTGCTAACAATAAGTTTACATGAACCTTGCCTGCACCCAACCATAACCTTAACTGGCCCTCATCCTAACCGGTAAGGCCACCTGTTTGCACAAAGCCAGTCAGAATGCTCTTGAAATTCCACTCATTTGAACCCAGGGCTTAAGCAGATATATGCTACCAACAATTAAGGTGATAGTCTTGACAACTTGGGCCCGAGGACATGCTTGAATTCAACTGAAATTTATTTTGTATCATTTTAGCATGTTCAAAGAATGAGGAAAATAGTTCAGACAAATAGCATGTAAATATTTGGGTTCGGTGTCAGGCGAATAACCCCTGTGTAAAATATTTTCCTCCAAAAATGCATGAATTACCAACAGTCAAATATCACTCAAGAATGTTTCATTTTCTTAACCCATTAAGTTGCAGTGCTTCCCAATTGACGAGTAATATTGTCTGGCTTTAAACAAGTAAAAAAAGTAAGTTGGGCACATTGCGGCTCAATGGGTTAACTAGAGATTACAGTCAGATTTTTTTGGTTAACCCAATGAGCTGCAGAGCTTCCCCATTGACAAGTAAAATTGTCTGGCTTTAGACAAGTAAAAAAGAATAAGTAGGACGCATTGCGGCTCAATGGGTTAATTATGAAATATATTGATTTTATTCATGCAATTTCTAGAGAAAATGAAACTAGCTTCAACAGAAGTTGGTAGAATTGAACTGCCAACTTTTGGATCTTGATAGACTTGATAATTCTACACATAATTTCTTTGCCATGTGCCATCAGTGGCCAGTATTATTAGTACATGGATTGAAAACATTCAAAGCCATGATAGTTCTGGCTTTAATAAAAAGGTCTTCCTCTATAGCTATACTAATATAAATAGAAAGCACTTTAATTTTACTAAGTAGTATCATGAAGCAGATGGTGGTCAACTGGCATTTTATATATCGTAAAAATTATTTGAAATAACAAATGAAACTAAAATCTGAAATTTCAACCATTTTCTTTCGAGGAAGACTGTTTCTCGTATTAATATAGTTTGGGCAACCTAATTGCATACACCAGTTGCTAAAATTGTCCACTACACAGTACAAATAGACTGTTTATTTCGCTTTGTTTTGACCTAGCGGCTAGCTACTCTAGCACAAAAAATATTGAACATATAAACAGTATATTTTTACTGTTATACTTACAAATAACGTTTTTCCAAAATTTCCGTGAGGTTTGAATATTCGTTCCCTGTCTTTCACTAGCCAGTATGATTCTTGCCACTTGTGCAACTCGAAACAAATGTTAAAATGTCGAAGAGAAGGCGAACACCAAGGCAAACTCCAAAACAAAAAGCTAAAATATTTTTGCGAAAATCAGGGGGATGTCAAAGTGGTGGCGGGCTCAAAATGAGCCTTGCTCAGTGGTAATTACCACGAGGATTTAGGACCAGTGGCGTCATTCTGGCGTCAGCAAACGTGAAATTCCTTGAAAATCCGCCATGTTTTTGGCGACACTTGTTTGACTGAAGAGAGATAGGAGCACCTCCTCCAGATATATTATAGCTCAGTGGATCCGCCATGTTTTGGGCTTCACTTTTTTTTCCCGAGCAGGTCCTCCAGTAATATAGTATAGCTCAGTGGTTACGCCAAAATCATAGCAAAATCATAGGAAAAACAAAGAAGTCGGCCTTCTGTGTACCTTCTTCTGTGCTATAGCCAGTGAACTCTAATAATAACTGGAAGGCTAAGTCAGGGGGGGAAGTTGAAGCCGTGCTTGAAGCTTTTTTTGTAGGTAGACCCAGTCCTTTTTACATTTTTTTTTCAAAATATGCACATTTTTTGATCAGAAAAATCTTGCCCCAAAATATTAGTTATACTACCAAATTTAATTTATATCAGTAGTATGATAAATGAATTTAATATTCGCAAAGCAAACAAATCATGAATTAGCAAAAAAATACGAAAAAACACGGCCATAAGCATGAACGGTCAGAAAAACCGCGCGTTTTAGGCTGCTTTTTCTGAGTTTTTGGAAGTTTAAGATAAAACTAAGACGTCGTACCTCAGGAATTATTTAAATCCATGCAAAATACATCTGTATGCGAAGTTTCCAGAAGATTTAACGTTTTAAGGTCGAAAAAAAAGCATTTGAAAATTGACAAAAATATTGCCATATTCAAAGTGCTCATAGTGGCCAACTAGATGCCGATGACGAAAATAACATCACTTGAAAAACGCCAATTTATTTATGTTTAAGAGCGACTAAAACAAGGACTAAAAGCTCAGGATCAATAACAATACCTAGGGTTTAGTACAACATAAATTTTGGGACTGTCAAAATGTTTTATAGTATATATTCTTGAGTTGAACGGCGAGGTTTCCTTCGGCACGTCCAAACTTTCGTCATTTTTTCAAAATACAAAAGCAAAACTCCTTACTTTTTGCTGCAGAGAAATGTAAAACAGTTGGAATTAATCGGAAAACCTGGTTTAAATCCCAATCATTGTTGTATTCCCATGGGAAAAGTGTTTTTCTTGCAAATTTTTGCTCGAAAACAAACTTTTGGCAGAATTTTTTTCACTCCTCGAAACTCTCCTTAGTCCTTTTGAAAGCTGATTTTCCCGCGCGCCGGCTTCAACGAATCATAGACTTTCATCATAGGAGTTAGCCTTCCAGTTATTATTAGAGTTCACTGGCTATAGTACAGCCCGGCTGGCAGCCGAGCAATCGGAGACAAAATTTCCGGCTGTCAGCCGGCGTCAAACGCGCTAATCGGGTGTTACTGCTCGGTTATTATTAAAACCTCGTGACTGTATTATATGTTTTATCAGTGCATATAAATAACGCAGTATTTACTGTATTTTTCAAAGAACAGAACATTTTTAAAGAGCAAAACACAGAGCAACTTTGTGAGGTAAGATGATAAATGTCGGTTATATTTATGTATTTACATATAATAGCATATGGGACAATTGTATGGGACATATGTTTACAATAAATTGTATATTATTTGCAACCTTATAAATCAGGTTCTGCTCTCAGGGTACAATCCCTAATATTATTAAGATGTGACATAAGTAAGTATAAAGATGTGAATAAGTACTAAAGTATAATTTATATATTTTATAATACATTCATATTTTATAATAAATGAATGAAAATTTAATAAGTATATACAAATTTTTGTGCAACAAATTGTTATATCCCAATGGCAATGTTGACCATTCCATGTACAGTATTATATATTTTATACCCTCACTTTATCTCCCAGGTAATTTTATAATGGTATGAAAAGCGTATGTAAATCTGGGCTGTTTAACTTTATACTAAGCTCACATATATCACCAACATATGGAACACAACCGAGCAATGAATACTGTTGATTATCGAAAAAATATTGTATGTACAATGCCCAACTGATGAATCAACTAACAATTGACTAATTGGTTGTCGTTTAGGGAGTGGTCATTATTTATGGGGAGGGGGGTTGGTAAATGGGAGGGGGGCAAACAAAGTTTTACCCTTATAAATAGGGAGGGGTCAAAAAAGTTTTTGAACTAAAATACAATGTCTAGAGTTCTGATTTCTATAATCACAAATAGCAAAAGAAGACTCTGAAAATTATGCCATTTCCAACAACCTAGAGACTGTAAATTTTCAAAATTTCCCCGCTCGGTGCCAACCATGGTAGCGCCTCGTGGGAGTCAAGCCTACTAAGTTTAACAAGCTTCCTACCCCCTGAGTGACCCAGTTGTGGTATTTACATAAACATACCATGCAAGTACACTTAGCTGATCAGATTTGGTCTATCAAAGCACAGTGTAACGCTGTATATCCCAAAATCTGTTTCAGAAAATGCTCACATTTCAGTCCTAGGGGTGGAAAATACAAAACATTTTCTGGGGGAGAATACCCCAGACCCCCCCTACTAGTACATATGATACCACACCAAACTTTTTGTCACCAACAACCATCTGGCATCTCTCCACACTCAGTATACAGTAGTATGGTCCCTTCCCCCAGATAATAATACATAATATACACATAATATACAGTCACATATATAACACATAATATATATTTTTTAATCATATATGGTTGAATCATATTCACCAGGGTAAAACATCATGAGCTAGATTAAACAGATTGTCCTAATATCTAACTTTACCTGCAACACACACCTGTTTCATTGCTGTTAATTTTCAATCCACACTGGGGGGGGGTCAGAAAAGTTTCTACTTTTATGAGGGGGGGACACAAAACGTTTTCCTTCAGTCTGGAGGGGGGTCAAAAAAGTTTTCAATCCTTATTTTGCCCATTTACCACCATAAATAATGACCACTCCCTTATTAGAACATATATATCTTCTCGCAACCGTTTAATGTTCTGTTTATTATATTAACTTATTCAGAGTGACAAAAATACACAAAGACAACATGTAAATAAGCACGCGAAAGACCAGTACAAAAGCGATATTTTTTTTTAATTATGGTGCAAACATAAAACTAGAATAAATTTTACTTATCTCAAGATGTCTTTTAAATGTTTTGGTTTTATTTCCTACATTCCGTTCATTGTATATGCAAACAAAAGACCATTTCTATTTTCAAAACAACAACAATAAAAATGGCGGGAAATTTTCGAACTTCGTATGTCACTAGCAGGGGTGAAATATGGAAAATACTCGCATCTGGTCCCGGATGTAGTGACGCATGAGTTCTACGAGTTTTAGTTTCCAGTAAAACACCATTGTCTATATAATAAATATAAATATATGCCTTTCTTCAACACAGATGGAAAAATATAGTGTGTTCAATAGCCATGTGATCACTGTCCAATCATATTGCTCAATAATGTATCTCAATAATGTATCTGTTAATATGAAATGATTACCACTTATTCTTAAATGACAAAAGTAGGGTACATGCTGTAGGTTCTTAGGGCCTGTTCATATGATCCCGCTTACCGGGACGTCTCGCTTACCGATGATCTCGCCGCCTATCTATTTTCCTATAAAATTTTGCATTGTGTTCATATGAGAAAGCGAGCTGGCCCGCTTGCCGAGATCTCGTTTGAATTTGCCGAGATCATAGGTAGGCGGGATGAAAATTTTTCCATATGAACACGCCAGCCCGCTTACCGGGATGAAGTGAAACAAGTCTTGCCGGTTTAATTTAACACGTTTTACTTGGTTTTATGTTTGTTTTGTAAACAAGTATTAAATAACCACCTGAAGCAATACTTTTTCTTGTAAATAAACGAAGAAAAACACTAAAATCGCCAAGTATTTGTGTTGCTTGACTGAAATGTAGAACTTTTGCATACGCTAATTATAGAACTACAATGTAATTTCATCTCGGCAAGCGGGACGAAATACTCCATATGAACGCACGGAAATATTCGTCTCGGTAAGCGAGACGTCCCGGTAAGCGGATCATATGAACAGGCCCTTATACCCAATATTTTACACTGACAATAACATACCATAATCCAAGAGTGGAAACTAGATACCATATTTGCAATCACAGTAGAGAAAATTCTGACCAATAGACCTTATGCATAATGACGTCACAAGGCTTGAAGCCTGTGAGGAATGCTGGTCTTAGTAGTCATATCGCCTGGGAAAATTAAACAATTCAAAATGGCCACTATTGAAATTTTCCTGGGTGATGACTAAGACTAGCATTCCTCGCGGGCATCAAGCTTTGTGACGTCATTGTGCATAAGGTCTATTGCTCCCTTCAGCACATGAAGTAGATAGCCCCCAACAATAGCACAAATGGTAGGAAAATATTCATGGTCACTATGCATTCCTTTCAACAGCAATGGATGCTTTGAGCAAGCCAAAACTCTGGTACAGTAACAAACGTTCTCCCAACACCCATGCATCCTCTTAACCCTTTAAGCACCCTGATTGATGTGCCCTACTTTAATGTTTTACTGTGTCTAATGCCAGACGATTTTACTCATTGAGTGGAGAGTGCTGCCGTTCAATTGGTTAATAAATGCAATGTCAAAACATAACTCTCTTCCAAAAGCAGCGGTGGGATCACAATTTGATAAGTACAATGTTCAAAGGCAGGTTTCTTCTGACAGTCACATTAGGATCACAGTATACTGTAGGTCTAAAAAGACAAGACTGTCTTGGTAATATTTGTGTCAACACAAACATGATTGGATAGTAAATGCTATGAATGTTCAAAGGTAGTTTTCATCCAAAAGCAGCAGGAACACGGGTCCAATAAGTGCAATGTTCAAAGGTACATGTAGTTTCCAACAGCAGCAAAAATACGGGTGTAATAAGTGCAAGGTTTATTCAAGGTTATTACTTACTGTTCAGTTACTATCATCTTTTTAAATATCTCTTTAATTCTGTAGGCTTGATTGTTACTACTCGTTATCGTTTTGGTCCAGCATTTGCAAGGTTTTTCTTTACATTCATACTCAAGTTACGTTGGCGTTTCTTTTTGGCTAATTTCCTTATGTTCATTTTTTCCTTATCATCTGCTTGCCACTTTCTTTTCATCCCTGTCTGCAGCCTTGGTTTAGGACCTGAAGGTTGAGCAGAAGATGACTTCACACCAGATTTTCTTCGAGAGATTGATGTTGGCTGAACACGTATTCTTGACCCGTTGTGCAAGACTGGAATAAGGTTGCTGCTTTGTTGCTTTCCGAAATGTACAAATGCATTTGCAAGCGATGCTACGGGGGAGTGGCCACGGCATTTTGTTACTATTTTTCGGTACGTCCTTAGGAAATTGTAATAACATTTCTTAAAGTTATCATCTTCGTTCCTTATTTTTAACTCGATGTCGGCTGCAACTTCCTGATGCAGTTTAAGAATTTCCTTGAGGGCTACAGGTTCGTCTTCTGTATGGCCTAGGACGGTGTCATGCCAACGTTGCTCGTCTTCCTTTACATCCTTTTCCTTGTTTTGCTGAGGCACCGTTTCAATTCCATTTACATCTTTCTTCACATTCATAACGCTTTCAGATTTTTCATGCAGCTGAACAAACTGTCTTACTTTGAGTTGGGGATTATCTCCTATTGCTAAAACAGCAAGCGCGTATCGATCTTGAGCGGATCGTGGAATAAAGTTGATGTTACCACCTCCGTACTTTAAGGCAACCGCAGCTTGATGTGCACAACCTGAGCCATTTTCTCCATGTGGACAGGTGCAAATCCCTAAACTGGTGTCAACTTGGTAAGTGAGGTCCTTGTTCTTTCTGCTTGTAACATTAAAATGAAAAGCATTTTCGATGTCCCTGGTGATGTTGTCAACTGGCACTGTACTCGCATTTCTTCCAAAGCATCGCGCAGTAACATGAAGATTTTGTGGCTTACCGAACGCAAGAGCTAACAGTTTCCTTTGGAAATACATCTCCAAATCCTCAGTTATGAATTTCACTAATTCTAACAAGTTATACGCTCTGATACGCTTTAAGATGACACATTTAAAAACGAAAATCATAGATTCCGTAAAGTTGTCTGTGTTATTTCCTCTTGTCAGAAGTCCTTTTCTAAAACAAAGTGCCCATTGTTCTTTTCTTTCTAACGCATTTTTAATGTAGTCATAGAAATTACGATACTTTAACACCGTTTTGTCTGTCTGCATCTGGGTTTCATTGACATGAAATTTTTCTACTGTGTCCGCGAATACCAGTCCTTGGCAAAGGGACATTAAGTGCTGCCGATCATGTTTATTAATGGCATTGGTGCTATCCAAAAGCCATCTCCAAACAGCTTGAAGGAAGTGAAATATACATAGAAGAAGAATGGATGAACGCCAGTATGCACGCAAAGCATTTCTCTGAGCACTGTCGTCATCGGTGAGAAAAATTGAAGGACCAGATGCTGCCCCCTTTCCACCAAATGCATGTTGCGGTAGCACTGATACAACGTTCTGTAAGCAACTATTCAAAGTGGATTCTGACTGGCTGGAAGTTATCCACACTGCTAAAGGAAGGGCACCAGATGGATGATGAGTACACATAAAATAAACTGGGTTATTGTGTCGATCAAGACTCCCAGATGCATCCATGAAAGCCATTTCACCAGCCTGCCGTAACTTGTGTACACGTGACATCATTGGAGTACATATGGAAATGATCAATGGTTTCTCCTGCTTTACTTCGTTGTTATATCTTTGTAGAAAGATTTTGCCACCATCATTCATTTTGTCTTTATTATATGTTGTAATATACTCTTGCAGATAGTCAAACATTTCAGATCCATTACATGGTCCCTTTGTTGTTTTTCTCCACTTCTCATAGAGATTATTAACGTCTCTCAAGGATGGGCAGTACTTTCTATCAGCTAAGAGAAGAACGGTAACAGGATCTTTCATTAACTTTGTTTCGTGATAATGGAACGACTCCGACGCAGACATGCCCTGCTCAAAATAAGTTAGAAATTTGTGTCTCGTTGCAGGTAAGATTTGGCTAAAGCTGGTAAGGTGATGACAGTCCACGCTGTGGTTGTGATTCCACCATAATTCCACATTACAGACAATTCCTTCCACTGCTTTAGTACGCACTTTTATTACCATTTTACTCTCACAATCTGTTTTTTTATCGCGGATGTTGGATAGTAAATGGATCTTGTCAATGACCTCGGCATTAGCAGCATGAGTGTCGTGACGCTCCTGCCTACGTTTCATAGCTTCGGCTTTCGCTTCTTTTTGGTTCCTGCTCAGTTCCTTTCTTTTACACTCGCAAATATACCACTGGGCAAATGAAACTCTGACACCTTTTCTCTTATAGCCACCTTGAGAATTGTATTTAATGTTTGACGATGCTGCAAATTCAGAAACCCATGTTTCGATTTCCTTTGGTGTTGACACATTTTTAATGTTAAATTTAACTCTATATTTCTTAGATTCCGTAGTATCGTTGTCCGGAAGTTCTTCATATTCCAAGTATTTATAAACAGCTGTTGGTGGAAGTATGCACTGTACATGCTGGGGTAATACATCAGCATTAGTTTCTTCAGGTATATTATCCTGCATAGCAAGTGAGTAGCAATGATCTTGAAGGATTGCATTTGCATTGCCGTTTTCAGACGGTGATGATGTGAAAGAATCCGCACCAATGTCCGATGTTTGTTTGCACCTGTTGCTGCCTTCGCTGCTGGCAAATGGAATCGATAAACACGAAAGCTTGTTTGCTGCTATGTCCAGTATTAACGAGTAACGGAAGTCATTTATATGTCGTTGCTTAAAATCAATCATCCTACCTTCAGCAATATGCTGTGCCCATTTTACCACAAACACGCCACAATCGACTGAGTTCAGCTGTTGTTCAATGTCGTTCGCTGGAATTGCAAAAAAATCCCACTCGTCAATACTATACTTTTGTCCTTGTAATTTCATGGCACATGCAATGAAATTGCCAACGCGTTGGAATGCCCTTTTTGCCCCTATTCCTTGAAAAAGAGAATCCAGATAAACCATTCGTTTTATTGCTGGGTATACAGCAACTAAACACCAGTGATCTCCGTGTAAAGAAGGACAGAGTATTACTTCACTATCTAAAATATCAGGGTATAATTGATCATACTGGCATTTTAAAAATATCTCAAGTGAAGGTTCTGTCATACGTTGGAGAACTTCCATGTTGCAGGTGTGGACTTGTTTTCCCTGCTTAACTGCTTCTTCTTCAATCATCAGGAAAATCTTGTTCACCAAAAAGTTAGATAACAGGGAATCAGAAAGCTTGTGTGATGCAGGAAGTATGCGAATGATGTCTGTCGGATCCCATTCTTTTACTCTTTCACTTACGCTAATCTGTACGCCTGCGAATGCTGTCTCTTGTGCGCGTTTTCTCTCCTCTTCAGTTAGGGATACATACATGTTTGGACGTACAGCATTTCCATCTATCCTGGTTTTGAACAATCCTGGTTTGGCGCTTCGAGAATCTATCGGTATATAGTAATCGGGTGGGACCATTACTTTTATTGTGATATCTTCTTGCTCTTTATCAGTTGATGAACTTGTCGGTAGTTTTGTGACTTTAGTAATTACTACATCGTTGGTCGAATTGTCGTCACATACAGGCATCTTCAATGGAGATGATGAAGGATTAGGAATTGTTGATATTTTAATTTTGGGAGCTGGACTCATGGAGGTCGTTTTAGAGCTTGAAACTGCGGTTCTTTCAGCTCTTGAATGCACTTGTGCAGGTGTTGACGATGACATAGATCTGTTAAAAGTTGATGTGAGTGATGAAGAGTGAAGTGGTTCTTCTTTTGTGAACTCTGCAGTTATTGGCGTGTCTGAAGAAAAGCTGTCTGGCGCAGGGCCAACAGATGTCGACAAAGAGAGTGGATTTTCATCTCTACGAGGTATCTGTGAAGGAGCAGCCTTGCGTTTCTTGGATAAAGACAAAGAGAGCCTTTCGGCAGAGCTGCTGGAAGTACCCCTTGCAACTGCTTTCGCATAAGTGTTAATATTTAATACGGGTTCTTTATCCTTTCTACATGTAGGTACTGGTTTTGTAAACACGACGTTTGCACTGGTGTGGCCTTGTTGCTCCTTTTTCTCGTAAAAAAGCATGTATGCATTCTGGTGATATGCGGCTAACTGTGATGTTTCTTTAACAACGGTATCACTTGTATAAAACCATCTCCCGCTTCTGTTGACATAGCAAACATAATGCCCGGACGATATTTGGTTTCCTTCATGTACAATTATTGAAGAAAGGGTGTATTCGGCTGTCGATGTTGCACTTCTGCCATCTTTCAAATCGCGTTGATACTCAGGTATGGTTAGTTCGGGTGGATAATCTATTTCCTTGTTTATTTTTTGGCCATTTGCGTCAAAGCGCAATAACTGAATGCATAATACCTGTGGTGGATTCCGCACTAAAGTTCTTTTCCAGGCATCAGTTCCTTTACCACACCTTAATAATAACCAAAACGTGTATGTGGTACAAATTTATGTGTTAGTACTTTACGTTAATTTAACGCTGTACACTCTAAAAATGATGGAAAGTTGGCTTTAGTAGTAATATAATTGTTTTAACACTCTAAGTGTTCCCCATTACACTCTCCATTTTAAGGTGGCCTACTGTTTTTCGGCAAGAGGAAAATATGATTTAGGGTGGAATTTTTGAACAATTGTGACTTGTTAAAATGCAAATAGTAGTGAGTTGTGAAATTTACTATCCGAGAGCAGAAATTTTTACCAAAAATGACCACTTCCGTTGCTATGGTAACCATCACGTCTCAATATGGCCGATTTTCTGACATTAATTAAACTAATTTAACTTGAAAAAAAAACGGTGGGTGTCTACACTGGCAATTTTTTTAAAAGTTAATAATTACTTTCGCTATTATACGTCATGGTTAGGCCACATAAAATAAATTCCTTGATTCTCATCACCGCCCGACTGTATTTTAAGAGCCGCGTGAATTTTTTTTATATTTTGTTATACAATATAAATGTACCGCCCGACAAAATATTTTATATTCTATATTGGGTTTTTTATATTTTATATTGGGTTTTTAGTGCCATTTTAAACTGCCAATTTCAAACAAATAGAACCTTGAAAGAAATTTCATTGCATTTTAACGGAACTTTGCATTCAGTTCAAGGGCCAGTCATTGTTCGTGGAGGAATATATTTATTTCAGTTTGTGACACTTTTATTTATTGATATATATTAAATTATATAAATATAAAATATAAACCTCCCGCCTCTTCGACATTTTTAAAGTGTAGTGATGAGAATCAAGGAATTTATTTTATGTGGCCTTACCATAGCAATGGAAATGACGTCATTTTTGGTTAAAAATATTATACTCTTCAGATAGTAATTTATAGGACTTAATATTATTTGCTTTTCACAATTGTTCAAAAATTCCACCCCAAATCATCAATTTTCCTCTTGCCGAAAACAGCAGGGAGCCACCTTAACTACAACAACAAATCACGTGCCCCTCCAGACCTATAACCTATTTGAATAGTGACACAAAACACCTGTGACGTCACAGTGCAGGGCATAATAACTGTATTTGCACCTGCTTAATACTGGTGGCATCACAGTATATGTACTAACTGTACCTTTCACAGTTGTAGGGCTGTTCCAATTGAACTGGTGCAGAGTATTGGTCCAACAAATCTTGTAAAGGTAATCCCTGGTAAATTGTGGTTAAAAGAGCAAATGAGTTTCCAGTTATTGAATAATGTTCAATTGAGTTTTGTTTATTAATGTAATAAAATGTGTCCACGTGTGCATTTACCTATTATGCTGTTCAAACCATTTTATCTACCGTAACATTAAGGAAAAATTGCTGGTGGTAAATACTCAAGAACTGAGAGGTCATTTTAAAATGCACTAAATTATTTTGTTACTTTTTAACACTAAACACAGTCCTTTTCTGAACTCCAAGGTGGCTAATTTACACATCCAAATAATCTCACACTACCTCACAAAGAAATTATGAATGCTTGCATGGATCTAGCACTGACAATGACTTTCTATTTCTTTGGGTATATATATACCTTTGTTATAGATAATGGAAGCACTGTCTCAGTGGCACAGTTACTTGTAGTATTGTCACACTCGCTGCATAAAATTTCACTCCTGAGTGAGAAGCAAAATGAATTCAGAAATTCAAGGCTACAATATCGTGGTATAAGATCCGTTGATTGCAGATGATGAGCTTTTTCCTCCAAAATCCTCCAAAATGATTGGAAAAATTCGGCTGAACATTGCTGTGAACCTTTGACAAAACCACTCATAATTTGGGGCAAGCAAGAAAGCAGTGCTGCTGGTCGAACAACTCGTGGTGCTCCATTGTACAGTTTGAAGACATTCATTGTACTGCATATTATACATTTTGTTCCTGAATGAATATCAAATGAATACCAGATATCATTACAAAATATTACTATTACCATGTATTTTTGTCATTGTCATCTTAAATCTTTTTTACAAATATAATGTGAACAATGTAGATTACCATTACTATCATAAAATAGTAATTATGTTATGTATATTTATTGGTTCAATTTTCTCTGCTCGTATTAGATATGGGGGAGCCTCTCCCACTGTTCGTCAGCAGAGAAGAATTTGTAATTCTTCCAAATCTTTATATTAGAAACTGTTGGAGAGGGGGGATTTTGCCACAAATCAACAATCTTATAATTCTTATCTCACCACCCCCCCCCCCTGGTATTTATATGGTGCTTGCTATGCACCTGCTCGTTAAGGCCAAACCACCCTATTTTGTTATTTTTGTCGATGTTACTCATACAGGTTAGAAGCGCAGGATCAAAAATTTCTACTGTAATTTTCTGGGATATTTTTTTTATTCTAAATATAAATAATATAAAATGAAATGTTAATACAAATAATAAAATATTGATTATAAATAATAATTTGTCAGTGGTTACTTTAATAATTGGTTTCCCCATCATGTATATAGGATTTGGGGAAGTACAGACTATACGTTGTGGTGTACCTCAGGCCCATTATTATTTTTATTATACATTAATGATTTACCCAACGCTGCGAGAATGGCAGAGACTTTGCTTTTTGCAGATGACACTGGCATTTTTTATTCTCACTCGGATCCAAAACATTTCATTTCTGTGTTAAATACGGAATTAACTGAAATTGATAACTGGTGAAATCCAATAAACTTTCGGTTAACATAAAGAAAACAAGTTATATTATTTTTAAATCAAGGCGAACGAAAATCAGTGTCAATTTACCAGCTATTGTTTTCGACAATCAACATCTAAAACAAGAACAAGTTATTAAATTCTTGGGAATTTACATAGATGAAAATCTCGCATGGAAACCGCATATAAACTATGTGTGTAAAAAAATATCGAAATCTATTGGAATAATTTATAGATCTCGCTTTGAATAATTTATAGATCTTCGGGGGCATGCCCCCCTCCCTTGGAAAATTTTTAAATTTGGAGTCTCTGAAATGCCATTTCCTGCATTTTGGGAGAAGATTAACAGAATTCTAAAGGTACAAAAATGTCATTAAAAAATCTCAAAAGTAACACTTTTTGGACATCTGCTTGCAATTATAAGTTATTATAAGTTTCATTTATTTCGTTAAAAATCATTCTAAATTTAAATATTAATGAGTTATAGCTTGCGCTTATGTGCTTTGTTGTATTCATAAGTAGCAGATTTAGCTGCTTTTAAGACGGACACTGGAGGCGTGAAAGTCTTGGCATTCAAATTGTTGATGAAATTGTTCCTTTAACATGAAGGCTTGGACGCTCTGCACGTTTGTTCTTTCCAGTCGTGCTAAAAACTCGCTCTTCTTCTGCATTTGAGTGAGGAAGGCACAGTACAGTTAAAGCAACTCGCGCTAATTGATAAGATTATAGTTATTTTACATAAAGCGTCGGTCTGGGGAAATCCCTCAAGTGTTAATTTACGAATTTGCGCAATAGTCCAACTTACGCAATACTATACGTTACACAGCGACTGCTCGAAAAATAGTTTATCTTATAGCTATTGATTCAGCTAAATATAAGGGATATTTGCTTGCGAAGAGAAGCGTTGTGAACAAAAGTTGGATCGCTTCATATTTTTTTCGCTTTTGCGTGAGAAAATAGTGTCTATGCGTGTGAGCGTGAGAAATATGTCAAATGCGTGTGTCTCACGCAAAATGCGTGAGAGTTGGAAGGATGGGAAATTGCACACGTATTCAGGCCACTATTTGTTGTATATTAGTTTCTCAAACGGAGCTTCACCTAAAGTTGATGCGGGCGGGCGGGCCATTACCATTATGCCATTATTTGCCGGGTTTCCCCTCTCCGTAAAATTTACCTTTGAAAAAGTGCGCATTAAGCATTTATATAGTGCGTACCGGAAAATACAGGAATCGTTGTATGTTTTATACAGCTGCAACTTTCTGAATGTTTCCATACCCTGTAATTCAGCATTGCAAAACAGCACTAAATTCGTAAGTGCAACTGAAACCATGTTTTCATATTAAAAACATGGCCGCTCCACATATGAAATAATTTTGTAGCCAAGTCGTCTCGAGTTTGCATAGTTGATAAGCGTGTACGTAATTATAATGCGGGAGAAACTGGCAGTTTTGGTATGAAATTTCGTATTTTAACTATAACATTTGGTTTGGGAACATTTCTAATTGTCTTTCTTTCAAATTTCGCTTTGAAGACATTACAAAATTTATAATAATGGTCAAAAATTGCAATAATGGCAATAATGGCGAACAAGACCATTTTCTTAAAAAGCATGTACTAATATACAACAAATGGTGGCCTAACCAAGAAGAAATAAAAGGTACAGAAACTTACTTACCTTCTTTATTCGCCGTGCATCGTTTCCTATTGTGCAGCAATTGATCCAGGCCTTCAACGCAACTCTTTGTTGAGAGAATAGACTGCAATACACAGTTAATGAAGCATGTATTCCCCGTGTTTACAAAGCCTTTTAATACATAACCTAATACCATGATGAACTTTGATTGAAGCTGGTAAAATGCCGAATTTGAATAAATAATACGCACAATTTCTCAGGTTCAAGATATAGTGATAGCACACTTTATTATTATCAATTTAGTGCGGGAAAATTTCAATATTTCCCGCTAAAAGCTAATAAACTGTATAATGGACTTTTAAGGACTTATTAGTATAAGTACTTGAATAACCCAAAATGACCCAATAAAACCAAACATGTACCTTGACTGGAAGACGCGGTTACAAAGCTCCCAACGAAAGTGATCCCAAAAAAAATTTCTGCCATCGGCGTATCGGTATACACCTATTCACACCCCCCTTTAATTATCGTCACCATGCAAAATGCCCTGTTTAGGAGGTTGTGTCGTCACTCGCCGTGCAAGGCTGCTTGAATCCCTGTTGCTGTGTTAATAAATACCTGCCCAATAATAATCTCGTCGGATTAGTGGCTGCGCCAAGGGGGGCATTCCCCCCCCAAAAAAAATTATTTTCTGCCCTCCATTTTGCCCCTCCCCCCTCAAAAAAAATTATTAATCACTGAGAGCGACTGAAGGCTACAGCGACTAAAGGCTACACAAGCGTTTTCTCGTTATCGGAAAATGTATGGCTTATAAGTCGTCATGTCGTTGGCGCGTATACATGAAACTGTACGTTTTTTACTGTTTCAATATTAGCTTGTAAATCTCTGAATGGTATAAAACTTGCCAATACTCCAATAATACATTTCAAAAAAAAAAAAAAAACCTTTAGTTTTGCAGAGTTAAATTCTCAAACGTGTAATTAAGGCTCTAAATAAGATGAAAGTATCACGAAATTATTTCAATAAACCACATCGCATATATGGGGGGCGAATAACCTAAAGGGGAGCGATATTCCTAGGGTGTTCGCCCCTCCCCATGGGGCACGATATTCCTAGGAATATCGCCCCTTTTTGAGAGGGGGCGAATCTCCTGGGGGGGGGGGCGATAGACATGGGCAAATAGCAGTACCTTTTTAAGAATTCTCTCTTGCCCCCCCCAAAAAAAAAATATGAGTTAAGATCTGCCTCTCAAATGCCCCCCCCCCGAAATTTTGAGGCCTGGCGCCGCCACTGCCGACGGGCTTTTAAAAACATGCACAAAGGTGCTTATACTCGGAATGGCCTGAGCGTTAGTGAATCAGATGGTGGGCTTATATACGGGGAAGGGCAGGGGCTTACACTCGCAGAGCAGCTTATTGTTTGATAATTCGTTGGACTATTCGTACACTAGACGAATAGAAGCATGATGTAACCAGAGGGGCCCAGGAACCTCTACTTCCCCCCTGACAAATTAATGGGACCTCCTTGGAAAAATTCTGACCAGTACAAGCATGTGCATTATATTTTCATTTCTTGTAGTGGAAATTTTATGTCTTCCTATGTTTTAAATGTTCTGAGCCTTCTAAATTGTAAAATAGTAAAATACAATAGTCATCTTCAAAACCTCTGCCAGTCAGTGAAATATAGGGGGGGGGGGGGCATATAGCCATCGCTCATTTATATCATTGACCGTATAAAATCCATAAAAATGCTTTAGTTTATATACATCCCATGTATATATAATCTGTAACTTTTAGCACAAGAAAATAAATATTTTTTAATTGATTTCAATGTAAAAAGTACCAAACTTGCGACAAATTCCAATGTTTTTATCTATAATTGCAATATATGGTGACATGACGCCCGCGCGAATTCAGTGTTGCGGATTGACAAAAAGCATGCGCAGAATGCGAGGGAAGTTATGGCGTTTAAAGGTAACATTTTTTTGAGACTTGGGGTAAAAAATTGGTTGAGACATGGGAGGGGGTAGTGAACTGAAATAACGGGCTTGAGTGTTAGTTTTAGTTTAGGGATTGGACGTGTGTTAATAGCTGTGAATGTGATGTGCGACAGGCTTGTGTGGTTGGCCAGAGGTGGTCGACCATATTTGTGCAAATAAATGTATTTAGTATTACTGTTGTATTGAGTTGCGAAGATTGGTTTGTTAGTTGCTTTATTTGCATTTTCTGTTTTGTTTGCTAGGCCATTTTGTGTATATAGTGGTGCTTTGTTAAAGGCTGTGATAATGTTGTCATGTTTGTAGCCTCAGTGAATGAGGGCAATAAGCAGGGGCGTTGGAGAGACTCTAGAAGTGTGGGGCACACTTAGCCGTGAGTTCGCCTTCGCAACATTCTAGGGGGGTCCGGAGGCATGCCCCCAGAAAAACCAACCTCGTTCCCAGGCTCTTCCCTCTTGAGGAGGAAAGACCCTGATCGGAGCTGGT